GGGTAGCTTTTTAATGGTGAAACATTTTTTTAAATATGCCCAGTAGTTTTTGAGTTATTTCAACACATACAAAAAGACAAATATTTCCTCTTTACAATATTATCAGTATAGATTAAAATGTTTTAGATAGATGGAAAATTAAGATTGCATAGTACGCAAAACTATAATCTGATTTTCATGAAATTATTTCGTATAAGCGGGGAAATCTCTCCACTGGGCATTTTGACACGTTTTCAGGTATACCGTTGTGCCATGTTGTATTCCTAGACTATGCTATTCTGAGCTGTCTATTCTAGAATTTTCAAAAATGTTTATATTACACGTATCTATTACGAAGAGTTCGAATATCGATGTTAGTCAACATTAGTCAATATGCATTCTCTTTTGCAATATGTTTGTGTACGGATTATTTCATTTATTTTATTTTGTAATCGTATGTAAGTATGTAAATTTACAATTTCTGCCTATCTACCGCTGATCCTGGCGTGCGGATGATCTCAGGTTTCTCGCGAAAGATCAGCGCTGGGTGCCTCATTGTGTAGCACCCAGCATTCAAACCTGAGCGTGGACCAAATCCGACTAGCATCATAATACTTATTATAATCTTTTATGTAATTACATTTTTTTCCTACTTAATTACTACGTCATGTTTATTTTTCTTTTGTTACGTCTAATTGTGTTGTGTTGTTGAGGTTTAAATGTTATTTTATTTTATTTTTTAGAGAAATTGGCTTTACAATAAAAAGTTGGACAATGTTTAAAATATATTTCAGCTTAAACATATGCCAACCCTTTTGTACTGTAACTAGTACCTCACGCGGATACAATCCTTATCAATAACTAAAGTACATATAACGCAGTTTGATAATACTGGGTGATATATAAAACCACTGTAACGATAATAATAACGATGAACGACTATGTAATTAAAAAACAGTGGTTAACTATATCATACTAATCATACTTTAAACTAATATTATAAATGCGAAAGTTTAGATGGATGGATGGATGTTTGTTAGAATTCGTAACCTTAACGGCTGAACGGATTTCGAGGAAATTTATATATAAAAAGGTATAATTGTAGAGGACAGTCTGGAAGGACACATAGGCTACTCACTTATGTTTCTTTTCATCTACGCGGACGGAGTCGCGGGCGAAAGCTAGTAGTAGTAGTAGCTTATAAATGCGACAGTTTAGATAGATGGATGGATGGATGTTTATTAGAGTTTGTAGCCTAAACATCTGAACGGATCTCGATGAAATTCGACATTGATGTAGAGGTCTGGAAGAACACATAAGAAAAAAATCCACGCTAACGGAGTCGCGACTGAAAGCTAGTTAATAAAACAAATGATTATAATACTAAAAATAGAGTTATTTTACGTTCTGCTATGGAATACAAAAGATACAAAGCAAAAATATAGTCTCTAATTAAAAAAAAAAAAAACTTTCTAAAGAAGAAGAATTTCAAATGCGGTGACCTTACGGATGGTTTTTACGGCCTCCTTAAAAATAATGCCAAACTTTTGGTCCAAATGATTGTGTTATCCCGCGAAAATGAAAAAACTTTGATTGCGGTGTAAATTTTTCCTTCGGCCACTGATTGAGACAATTTTTCTTAAGGAAATGCTTTTGTTCGTCGTTAAATAAGAAAAAAAAAACAATCAAAATACGTCGCTTAATAAATGCAAGAGATTTAGGGCCTGTCCCACCAAATTGTAAATTGTCTGACACGAATCCAAAATGTAAAATATGCGATGGAAATATCTGATTTTGTTACCTTATCTGACAGTGACGTCATTTTTAAGCTATCTGAGCTTCTATTAGCCAGTGGTGGGACAAGCCTTTAGGTATCGAAAATGGAATTATCATTACTTTGAACATTTGTATCTTTATTTAGACTGGTCCATTTTAACAAAGATTCCAAAAAAAGCGGTTAATATATGATTACAACAAGGGTTTTTAACCCAAAAACTACGAGGCTGATTTAAAAAAAAATCACCATTAAAAAGCAAGTTTGTCTGTAAGTAACATAGGCTATATTTTTAATTTAGGAGTGCTAAGACAGGAGCAACAGCTAGCTTAATAATTATATTACTAGTAAAACTTTCAACATAGATTATTACCAGGATCAATGTTGAAAACTTAAGTTACAATTCTATATCTAAAATAACTTAGACCAGTCTACATTTGAAGCGCTATCTGATTGGCGCAAGAGACGACTTAAGCTCAGTCCAGTCTAGGATAAAGCCTTACGTCGAGACGGCTATAAGTCGAGCCACCTGCGAGGATTTCCTATCGATATTGCATAAGGCTTTGATAATATTGATTTACGCTTATTACTGTAACTTACATTCTATTGGGAATAAAAATTATTCATAATTATTTTATAAGTTAAGGAAAATTACTAAAGAAAAGTAGAGTATCAAGATGTTTCTACATTGATGGAAAAGACTTCTTCTTCTTTTTCGTTTCTTCATTGCTAAAAGTCGTGCTTGCACTGTTAAGCCTTTACCGAGTCATCGGCGAGCTGCCTCCATGCCGCCCTGTCTTCGGCTTGTCTTAGGGCAAGTGAGATGTTAAGCCCCAGTATGGACTGAACCTGATAGATCCATCGGGTAGGTGAACGACCGCGTGACCTTTTGCCCTCGATCTTTCCAACCACTACTAGTTTATCCAAATTGTCAGGTTGTCTACGGGCAATATGGCCGAAGTATCCCAGAACTCGTCGGTAGCATATTGTGGATAGTCTGGTAGATATTTTTAATTGTTCAAGAATTGACTTGTTTGTTCTCTTTGTAGTCCACGGTATACGCAACATTCTTTCGAAGGAAAAGACTATTCCAATGTAATTAATATACTACTAGTACTGTTCTAATGTTCTACATAATCGCAAAAAATTGAAATACTGTGTTATATACTGGCCTAGCCTGATTGCTTGAGATAAGTCACTAGTTGCAAATACTAGTAGGAGCTCGCTCCTTAATGAAAATTTGAATAAACCAACGCAGTTATTCCAGAGAAAATAATTCAATCATTCTATTTATTGTGGGCGTAAACCCCACAAGTAGCCAAAAGCAAATTTCTATTTATTTTACCTCATTAAACTTTGAAAGAATTTATAGAACGGGAATTCTTTACCGACTTCTTAATTAATGATCTTGGTTTCCTTCCATTCTCTTTGAAATTCGTAATGAACAATTTCGTCTAACAAAATGGCTTCTCAATTTAATATGCGGCCCGAAAATTATAATTATGACTATAATATTTTAATAAAAAGCTCGCGCGGAGGCGGCCCAATTAATTCTATCATTAGGTGTCAATCACGTGGCATTTTACCTTGCTGTGAGGTTGGAAGTTTTTCCTTTACTTTTGAACTGGATTTTTCTATTATTTTAAACATCTCTTTATATACACGATGTGTATATTTACCAATATTTGAGAGCATTTTAATCGATAGTTTTAAAAAAAATATATATCGAATACACCAAAACAATGCATTGGTATGGTAACGCAGCGTAAAAAAGTATCCAGTTGGTTATGATATAACATGCATTTTTTGATTTTTGTATGTATGTAACTCAAAAACTACTGGGCCGATTTCAAAAAATCTTGCACCATTAAAAAGCTATGTTATGATTGAGTAACATTGGCTATATTTATCTCTATTTTTAATTCCACGTGGACGAAGTCGCGAGTACATCTAGTATAGTATATTTTCACAAAGAAATACTCCAACGTTCTATTTCAATTAATTAAAAATCCCGCAATCGAGTGAACATGCAGTTAATACTTTTATCTCGAGTCCGAGGAAAAGTTAATAATTAAATTTTTAACCACTTTAACTTCCCTCCGCAGTTTATTCTCATTGCACGTCGGAGAAGTTTAATCGAAAATCACGAAGATTTCCTTTTCAATTTAACATCTAACAAAAATGATAATTTAAACACGCTTCAAATGTTTTAATTTTACTAATAGGTTTTAAATACTAAAATAGTTTTAAACAAAAAAACATCAAATAACGCGGAATGTGAATATATTTTGACTGCGACAAATATTAAAATTGGTGTGTCTGTTTGTAAAAACAAAAGAAGAATTCGGGAAGATGGTGCATTTGCGTTGCTGATAACGAAAATCGCATTTTCTTTTTGGCTGTGTGTCTGTCCGCAAGCCGAGTTTGTTTCGGGTAATTTTCGAAACGAATGGGCTTATTTCGACCGTACTTTCACTGAAGGGTAGCTGACATAGACGGACATATTATAGGCTACTTTTTTTATCTTAATATTGTGTGGACGAAGTCGCGGGCAATTCAGGTATTACTGCAGGAGAAAAGATGTAAAGAGCAACTGCTATAAGCTTATTTTAGGGTACAGAAATTTATATTTCAAATTCGCAACTCCTTTTATTAGCAAACTCAATATACACCGTAACTAAAATTCAAAAATAGAATCACAAAATGCATTCACTTGTTCAACAAACAAAGGGTGGGTAGTCAAACGGGGGACTACAAAAATAGTATAAGTATAAAATTTACGGCTTGTTCACAAAGGCCTCGACAACAGACTATCAAGTCTTGCTCTCTGGTCAGAGCAGTGTTAACTCCAAGCTTTGTGATAACCCCTTTGTTACATTTGTGTTCAAAAAAGTTGCCAGTTTTCGTTCGCAGAGATTGTACTTTGTTTTTTTAAAGGCAATTTGATTTAGTGGGATTTGTTGTGAATTAGAATATAGAAGAGTGTAGTTTCATTAAATTACTACACTTTTTAGATCGAAATAAGTTTTAATTGAACAATGGAACTGTTTAGTTAAAAATGTGCGTGTTTGTTTACACACTTACACAGTTAAACTCTTAAGTTAAAATAGTCAGAACTGACTCTTTACTATAGTCATAACTTATTTAAGTAATTAATGTGTAACTTATCAGTTACTCTTAAAAGTATAACTAAATCTATGCATATTTTATATAAAAGCTACTTTTAAACTAATGTCGCTAAGTGGCTTTCATTTTCCTGCAGATTTTTCCTCATTTTCTTGTTCCAACTCCTCGAGCCTTTGAAGTACTTTTTGTCGTCGTCTTTCTAAAGGTGTTTTAAACCACCATATTTCAGCTGCCGCGTCCTGTCGTAGAACAAACATTTTAGAAGATTAAAAAAAATAACAAGATATAACGTAAATTTTAACAAACTAAAGTGGAAGAAAGAAAATTTATTACCAATATATATATATTATTACCAATATATATATATTATATTATTTTATTTATTTTATTTATTTTTTATATAAAATACCAAATAAATAAAGCATAAACTTGCAGTAGATATTAAAAGAGTGTCAAAAGACACCAGCGAAGCAAGAGCTAATCTCCCTGCGCTGATTCTAAGTTGACTCGTTTACAAAGATATACAATTAGATTGCCAACAAATCAATCCAAGTTTAATTAAAATAGTATACCGCTACTTATTGGTTTTATCATAAAAATACCGAAGGTCTCTAATGCCAAAAGATTACCACAAAAACATTTTATCCCTCTCTGCCTTCTTAAATAAAACAGAGACAAAAAGATGAAAATCCTCGGTAATACTCACGTGTTCAGCATAAACTGGCTCTCTATAACTCAGCTGTATTGCAACTTCGTGTGCTGTTAATGCACGAACTCTTAATTGCAACCGTCTTTTCGTCGTGAGAACATCATCTAAAGCGGATAGTAATGTACCTGCAATACAAGTAATTAAAACGACATCCATTGTTTGATGTGTGAGAAAAATCATATAGCATAAAATTCTGTAGCATTATAAATTTCACAAAAACTTGATTCTTTAGTCGTAACTACACTACTCATAACTAATTTATGGTATATTAGCTTTCGTCCACGATTCCGTAGTTGATTCAAAAATAACAAAAGTATGTGTGTTGTTTAACTGGTCTTCCAGACTATCTTCTACATCTATAAATTTCATCAAGATACGTTCTATCCTGAATCTACACTTTCGCATTTATAGGTAATACTAGCTTTTGCCCGCGACTTCGTCCGCATGGATTAAAAAAACAAAAGTGAGTAGCCTATGTGTTCTTCCAGATTGTCCTCTACATCTGTACATAATTTCATCGAAATCCGTTTAGCCGTTTACGCTACAAACTCTAACAAACATCCATCTAAACTTTCGCATTTATAATATTAGTATGATTAGTAAGAAGTAAGTTAAAAGTAAAGTGTGATTTTTGCACACAATTTTTCTCAATCTAATTTATAAAAAGCTGTATTCGATTAAGATAGATAAAGAAAATAACATTGAAATTGACACCATTTTATTATAAACAAAGTGCAAGAAAACTAAATTGGATATTTCTTATTTTCATCCAATTTTCCCATATTGTAAGACTCGAGTATTCTCATGAAAATGTATAAAATGCATCTTGCAAGACAACAGAACTCATTTAGTGAAATTCGATTTCTTATCTCATTTTCTTTGTTAAATCTAATTTACACTTAACGTTTAGTTTCTTTAAAATTCATTTTAATATAAATCGCCCTCCTGTAGAGAAACTTTTATTTAGCAATTTTAGTTAATTAATTCTTTAACAATACTTACCTTTAGCAACCTAAAAATAATGTCATTCTTAGTGCAATGGCAGTCTATTTGATAAGAGTGTTTATGTGTTTAGAATTCGACGAATTCTACCACTGATAATACAAAACTATAATAGTTCCTACCTATTGTGTAAGAGTCCGAAACCCTCGATAAGCAAGAAATATCAAGTCGTTGGGACAAAGCGCCAGCTCTATGTAGCTTTGATCTCCACATCTGTGAAATACTTCCGTAATCAGCTCTCGGTATTTGAATTACTTTTGTATAACATTGGAACAACAGTTTCTGTTCAGCTTCCCAAGGCATTCGAGATGTACCAATAAACAAAACACGGTCTTCTGGACAAATACCTAGAAGTAATAAATTTAGATCAGTAATATCGGTATTAAGAAATATCTCTGCTTTCATTCATAGTAAGTAGTATTTTTTATAGGAAAAGCCGGCAAACGAGTAGCAGATCTCTTATTAAATGATCCGACGCCGATAAACATCCGCAACGCCAAGGGAACTGCAGATGCGCTGCCGGCCTTATAGTAGCAAAATTTGTAAATGAAAATTTAATTAAAATAGAAAATAGTCAGGAAATTTTGCCTTTTTAGCAGAGTTATTTGAAGAATAGTTTATTCACAACCTAATCTCAGTACAGGAGAACATACTTTTTATAATCTTCGCTAAATCCTTTTTTAATCTCTTCGGATCAGTTTTATCAGTTTTAGGTATTTTTTTTACGAAAGGCTTTTCCGCATCATCCATCCAAATGACACTCGGCTGAAGTAATCTTGACACTTTCATTACTAAATGTATCAACATGATGAGGCCTGACTTTCCGGGATATTTTCCAACTATATTTGACGGTGTAAGATCAAAGAGCATTGCTCCGACTTCACTGCAAATTGCGTGTAAGAGCATCTTTTTTCCACTACCAGATGGACCTAGAAATGTAGTTTTGATATTTTATACAGAATAAAAAAAATAGACCTTAAATCCGTTGACCACAAACACACTAAAAAATATATAGAGAGGCATAGTTCACACCACACATTTGTCAATCTTTCGCACTTGTAATATCTGTTGGTAGCCTCAAAATAATATATCAATATATGTTAATTAATTGTATTTAAATTAATTGTCAGTAGGTGTCTTAAATAATATTTAAATGTTTACTACTGTTTAGTTTATTTTGTAAGATGTTTTATTGCTTGTCAATACAAGAACACGAGGCGACGTATTAAATTTGACAACTGATATTACCTTTCAGAGAAAGTACCGGTGAAAAAATGTTGTTCAGTATGCCTCGTCTATGTATTTTTAAATGTCTTTGGTTGATCATGAGACTTTTCTGACTCGATTATGAAAATTACAATCAACTCCCGCATGAAGTACTTAATTATTTCTGCTTACCTGATAAAAGAACCGATCTTACTAAAGGTGCGTTAGTTTTAACATGATCAGATCCTAAAGGTAGAATACAATATTCTTTTATGAGTTGTCGAATGTCACCTAAACAAGGACTTGGTTCACGACCTTGTTTCCGTATTTCAGATCCAATAAAATTCTTTTCACCGATATAATCGTCTATCTTTACTATTGGATATGGGCGTATTATTCCATTTGTAACCAATTCTTCGAAGAGCGACTCAGTTGTTCTGTCAGGAGTTAAATCCTTTTCCTTTTTCTTTTTACTTTTTTTACCTCCTCGTCGTACCTAAGAGACAAGCATTTAACATAGGTATAAATTTTGTACCTTAGGAATAGCACTACCGGACATTGGCATCATATTTAAAGAAAAATTTCTACCTTCTTTTGTGGTTTCTTAGACTTCTTCCCCTTATGCGCTCTGTCTTTATCGAAAGCCGCTTGAAGTAAATCGAGTTCGTTCCTCATCATTTCATCTACCATATTTCTTATTTCTTGTTCTAAGAGAACCAATTTTTCTCTCTCAATGATATCCCTTTGATATCTTTGATCATCATAATCGTCTCTGAACTTCCACATGTCTTCAAACCTGGAAACATCGTTATTGTTTGATACAATAGTTTTTTTAATTTCACCTGATTTAGTGGTCTGTAATACAACAACTTACTCTTCGTTGGCATTTATAACATCTTGCAGAAATGAAGAGTTCACACATTTATAATTTTGTAAGTCTTCCATTTCGTCTTTTGTTTTGTTATCCTCTGCCTTCGTGCTCTTTTTGTCTTTACTCTCTTTGCTCTTCTTAGAATCCTTGGATGATACAGGAGAAGATTTGCTTAGCTGACTTTCAACACCAGTACCTGTAAAAATTAAGCATTACATTTTGTTTGTATAGATTTAATCACTATGTATTTTATTCTAAAATGTTTTTAAATCCACGTACTACCTAGTCTACTAAACATAGCTCTACTCCCACCGCCTTCTTCTGAAGGAAATTCCGGTAATCTATTTGTCCTTTCGTAATATTCCGATATCCACCTTCGTAACTCATCCCCAATTCTTTCTTTTATTTTCTCTGTATGTTGAGCTCTTAATTGGTCCTCTACAGTTACTAGTGCTTCTTGATACTCCTTCTCGTATTCTTTTTGACGGTCGCGGCGATTTTCTTTAACCTAAAAAAGTTATATTATTTGACTCAAAATTTTGTTGTGGTATAGTATTTTTTTATTATTATTTAATAATTTACATTAGTCTTTCTAAAATACAATTTCACTAATGGTGGTAAATGTAGATTAAAATTTATAGAATATGCTGTATTTACCTCCTCTGCTCTCTTTATTGCTTGTGATTCGGTATAAGGTGGTAGTTCCATACCAATAAGCAACTGTTCCGCTCGTTTACGTTTCTTTGTCATTCGTCGTGTGATGAATCCTCTCCACACACGCTGGATTGCCGTCGCTGCGGTAGCTGACATTTCACCCTTTTGATCTCTACCCTTTTCTTTGAGAAGACGAATTTCCTTCATAAACTGCCCTCTGAAAATGGAAATTTTTATTCTTTCTCGTCTAGTTGAATGTTATTGACACACATGAAAAAAAAAAGAAGTGTATACCTTAGCCTTCCTTGACGGGCTCTCTCATGGCTTTGGATAATAATAATTGCTTGTTGTTCAGTTAGTACTATTAATGGAGGTTTTGTAATTTCATGGCCTAATTTTGTCAGAATATCTGTTATGAACTTTCTCCGTTTTAATATTTCTTCTTCTCTTTCTCTAACAAAATATTGAGGAATGCACGGCTCGGCCTCTTGTGGTGTAACTTGTAATTTTTGTAAAGTCTGAAATTTTTTAATTACCTAATAACTAGTAATACAGACAATTACACGTTAAATAATTCAACTTAAAAAAAAATCTGGAATATTTTACAAAACTGTTCGCAATGATTATCCGTTGAATCAGAACTGTACTGAAATTGGAAAATTAACGGCAAAATACAATCGCTAGTATATCACAGAATAATACATACCTCATCATCATCATACGTATAGTCAGACAAATATAATTCAACCAAATCATATTTGATTTCAAGTAGTCTACCGAGGCAAGCTTCCAAAAGGCGTTTGACAATTAAGCGCTTTTGTGGCTGCAGTAGTTGATCGTAAATTGCATCTAACCTGCTAACCAGCACCGTGTATCTTATACGTAATTCTGAGAGAATCGGTTGAAAAACCGTACGTTCCGCTATACCCGCTTCGAAAACCGCTTCATCTATTTGTGTTGCTTCACCTATAAGTTCCGATGTGTCACAGATTAAGTCGTTGTATGTTTTACTCGACATTTCGATTCTATTCCGTATTCGTAAAACAAAATTTATGCATAGTATCGTTCGTATGATCAATTAGTAATATTTGTCAGTTCAGAAAGAGTGTTTGAGAGACGTTCTTTGAAAAATTAAACGCTTGTTCAACTCAATGTTTCTTTCACTTTTCTTCCGCCACAAATTAACTGTTATAATATTTACAAACGACCATTTATATCATCATCAGAAGAAACTTGTTAAATGCATTGCATTATTCCCTAGTGAACTGTGGTACTTATGATTGGCGTTTATTATTAGAACTAAACTGCATTACATGCAAGAAACTTATATACTCTATAGCTTTATCGAACCAGCAACCTATCGTTATGCGACCCGTTGCTATGACACGTTACTTGGATTGACTTTTTGTTCAAATATTTGGTAGATATTGCTATAGGCAACGTGTAGCTTGATTTTTCTAAATACTATCATAACGCAAAGTTATTACGATCACTCGTATGTTTTAGTATTTCTTTGGACTAGGCTAGGCTTACTAATATTATAAATGCGAAAATTAAAATGGATGTTTGTTGACTTCATGATAAAATTTAGCAAATAAGCCGAACATAGTCTGAAAAAACACAGGCTTACTTTTATTATTTTTTTTAATTCTGTTCGGATTTAGTTGCGGGTAAAAGCTAGTTTTGTATAAGTGGAATTTCTTTTAAATTCAATGTTTAAAGAAAACTCTAGAAAGACTTTCCACTTACTTAAATCTTGCCTCTTGTGCGTATAAATATTTTTAAAGTATAATTTAACGAGCCATATAAAATTCAAAGACACAGTTTAATATAATTTCTATCAAAATATATTTTAAATAAGCAGTACGAGAGTATACAGTTAGTATTTTTTCTTATGCTGGCACAAAGCTTTTCCTTCTGCGGCTTAAATTGCATATAGCTAAGAACCGGGGCGGATATAAAAGAGCCACAATTTTATGGACCGTATACATTCGCTGCAGGGATATCGAACATTCTAGAATGTATACCTGTTTGTTGATTGAACGTTGTGAGGAAGTATAAAACGTATTTCTCGAAAGTTCCTAAAAGATTTTGACGTGGAATTTTCTTAAACTACGAGTATATGCATACGTAGAATGAAAGGTTATAAATCTTTTTTCTTTTGTTTATGTTTCTTAATGATGCAGTTAGTTTTCATACAATGTTTATTGGTACTGGTGCTTACGTTGATTTTTTTTTAATCTTCCTAATATTGTAAATGCGAAAGTTTAGATAGACAGATGTTTGTTAAAGGTGGTAGCAAAAAACTACTGAATGGATCTCGATTAAATTTGGCATATATTCAGAGGGTAGTATGGAAGAACATCTACGGTACTTTTTTTTAATTCCACAAGGACGGAGTCGCGGACGAAAGCTAGTAGACGTATAATTTTTTTTTCAGATGTCAAGCAAATGAACAGCAACGAAAAATGTTTCATCATATTTTTATTTTAAAGCTTCGCAACGAAACGAACAGTCGTGTAATTGTTTTCCATTCGACGTTAATTGACTTGTGGTGGTCGGTCAATAAATATTTTTTGCGTGCAAACGCAGTTGGGAAAAATCTGACGACCATTTTACGAGGCGACCATGCTTGTTTGTGTCACGAAAATAAAACTACAATTAAAAATGATGAAATTATTTTATACGATTGCGCTCACTGCCTTACTGGTTAAGTTGTCTTCCTTAGAGTAAGTTTAATAAAAGAATTCTACACTAAGGGATGACCTTAATGAGCTGTTAACGACTGTAAATGTGACAGATTTTGTAAAAGAATTTGGTAAGAAAACTGTCAAAGTAAACATAAAAATTGAAGAAACTTTAGGTTGTTATTTTTTAAATCATTATTTTCAAATCGTATCGAACTCTTTGCTTCGGAGACGGATACTGAAGGACCACTGTCTCGGAATCTCATCAAAATTCACTTGATAATAATTGACGTTGTCTAGAAACGAGTGTCTGAAACGTTGAATACAAAGACTATTAAATATATAGACTAGACACAGTGAACAACATTTTTTCACCTGTAAATTCTTCTATGTTATTTGTCAAGTATGCAACCTTATGTAATAAAACAGTTTTAAAAATTATAATAAGCTTCCTCTTTTCAATTATATTAGCATGTGGTTTTAAGTACCTTTCAATAGATAGCGTCAGTTAGATTATGTGTAAAATATTTCAACTGAATTATCAACTATGCCAACTCTATATGTTATTTAATCTCTGTGGTTAACAACAAAAAACAATCGATGGAAGACGGTACAAGAACGATTGCTCTGGGGAATTCAACTTGAGTTAATTGTTAATTTGGTTATTGGTAGTCCAATCACGTTCTATTTTGTAAGGTAAAGGCCCTTCAATGGACAATTCGCAACCACATTACTCACATTTAGAAGGGTTACAACTTTAGGAGAGGGATGTTTCTAGTACCGTGTTTCACCTAGAGCGTACTCACGAAAACTAAACTATCGCACTGTTTAGCCTCTCTTTAATTCCTATAAGCTTATATGGAAGTGCGCACATTAATTGATTTTACTCTAATTGGCTGAAAACAATCGACAATCGCTCAACAGTTGTCCGATAGTTTAGTCAATGGTGTTCGCCCGCTCTTAGTCGACAATCGCAGCAGTAGTGGAAGTAATACTTGCGAATGCATACAAAATGGCAACTACAGCCAGTGGAAATAGGCACATATAAACTTTGTTACTCGTATATTTGTTAAATTTTTTAATAGATCTAAAAATGTTGGAGAGAAATCTGAAAAATGACATAGGATTTTTGTCGTGAGCAATTTATAAAGCTCAGTGCTAGACGAGCGGACTGAATCTTTACTGTGAGGTGCGAATGTTATCCGTTTTGACGACAATAAATCAGTTTAGCCTCGGGCGTTATTAAGCGTCAGAGAGCGTATGCAAATCTAATACATGGATGTTCCTACAAAATTATATTACTCAAGTAAATTGATAAACAAACGCGGAAATTCTAGTTCAAAAAAATACACTAGTGCATAATCATGGTTTCTTTTCATAGCAATGGATGTCGTTAAGAATTACCTGCTTGATCTACAATTGCCTGAGACAAGACGGTGCAGAATAGACTGTCTTATATCGGAGGCCAATGTACACTTTAGATAACCGGTCCAGTGGAGTAAGTAAATCTTTGACTAAACTATCGACACGACTGTTTAGTCGCTCTTTGATTTCTATAAGCTAATAAGGAGGTGTGCACACTACTTATTTCTTAGTTGTGCAACAAAACAGTTGAATTGGCGGCGAAACAATCGACAATCGCACAACAGCTGTGCGTTAGTTTAGTCAGAGGTGTCTGATCTACGAGTATATGTGATTTGAAATATAATTCATGCACGTATTTATTCATTATCAAATTAATCATAGTTAAGAAAACTTCACAGTGGTAGAGCCCGCTTTAACATATTCGCACGAATGGCTCGCCCGGTGTAATACCACGACCACACAGAAAACAGGCGTGAAGTAGCAATGCCGCGTTTCGTCTGATGAGTGTGGTGCCGAAGGCCCAATTTTAGTCCTTTTTCCTTTCTACCCTTTTCTTAAGAGGAAAGAATGGGAAGGAAAAGTGGATTTCAAGGTGGAGGAGACGCATAGGAAGGGAAAATGTCTTCTTTATGGGCGTTTCCTCCCCCGTCAATTAAGGGTAGGCAACGCATCTGCAATTGCGGTTGTTTATGGGCAGCGGTCACTTTCCATTTCGGTGGATTTAGGTGGCCGCTTGCTCGTTTGCCACCTTATATTATAAAAAAAATCTTGTCATATCCACTCTTTTATTATTCCATGATTTCCCCTTTTGCGAGTCATGGTATTTCGGTCCCCCATAGAACCAAAATCATCTTACAATAAGAGGAAAATTCTTTAAATTACACCCCTCATGACACCCCATTATTTTACTCCTGGGGTGCGATTCCCTTCATCCCTACAATGCTTAGACAATGTATCTCAGAGGATGTTTACTGTACTGTTTTCAAGATTTGAGACGTATAATTATGTATCGAATTCAATAGATATAGATTTAAGTATCTCAAGCAAACGGGAACGTTTAAAAAACTGCTAATGTTTAAATACATAAAACAACCTTACTAATATTATAAATACGTAAGTTTAGATGGATGGATGCATGATTGTTTTTTAGAGTTTGTAGCCTAAAAGGATGAATGGATTTCGATGAAATTTAGCATAGATATAGAGGAGAGTCTGGAAGAACATATAGGGTACATATTTTTTTAAATTTTAGTTCCACTCATACAAAGTCGCAGCTGATAGCTAGTAGCTTTATTAAGCAAAGATTTCAATGTTATAAATGCGAAATGCGCGATGGATGTTAGAGTTTGTAGCTGCTGTTGAAATTTGGCAACTTACTTCTTTTGTTTTGATTTTATTTTATCAAATTTGGCTATTTACTTCTTTTGTTTTGATTTGATTTGATCAAATTTGGCTATTTACTTCTTTTGTTTTGATTTGATTTGATCAAATTTGGCTATTTACTTCTTTTGTTTTCACACATAGGCTACTTACTTCTTTTGTTTTGATTTGATTTGATCAAATTTGGCTGTTTACTTCTTTTGTTTTCACACTAAGGCTACTTACTTCTTTTGTTTTTAAAACACCCGGACAGCGTCACAAGAAGCCAGTGTATAAATACACGTTTGTTTAAATTATGATTAAATCAACTTCTAATTTACTGAACTCATTGTAGGGTCTAATAGTATACTATATTGAGTGCCCTTGATATCGTATTCTGAGCATGAAATGTTTTCATTAGTCTTGATGATGGCGTAACTTAGTTAAGTTTGTATGAGGGATGGAACCCTTTGAAATATTACTCGTATTGGAAATCTGAGGGTAGGCACACATATCGATGAGTGCAAACTTGATTTGGGGGTGAACGAAAGTTTCCCTTCGTCTAAATTCATTTGTTAATTTAATGTAATTATTACACAATACATAA